GCTCAGGGGAGTGGGCTGCATGGCAGTGGAGGGCGAAGGAAAACAGTGCGCTGTGAGAACAGACAAGTTTACTCACAGGGAATTCACTAATAAACCAATTTCCTTTTATCCTGCTTCTGGGGTGATTTACTACTCTCTCTCTTGTTGGTGCAATGGGCAAACTGACTTATACTCAGGCTCTTAGCATAACTTTAGGCCTTCCCAGATCTAAGCAATTAAATTGTACAGAGTGCCTTTACTGGGAAAAATGAGCGCTGTGATTGGTGCGGTGGGCTAACCAGGTACAATAGTTTCCCTAAAAGGAAAGAAAACCAAAAACGGAATAGGATTGGAGTACCTTATCTAAAAAGACAAGGTAAGAAACTTGAAGATTGGACAGTTTGAGATGAAAAAGTTACAAAAGTAGTGGACAAACAAAGACACAATGTGTTTGTGTTGCCACCCTGGGGAGACAAGAGCAGCCTTGGAATTCTTGTTTTGAGTAACAGGGAATCCAGAAACTAACATCCCACACACCCAACAGAGGATCTGAGGCTGGTACCACCGAAGGTCACTGCTGTAACATCCAAGGAACCACTTGCCAGGTCGCATTGCAAGGATAATTATCTTGTAATAAGCCTAGGGGTTTAGTAACCCCTAAAGTTCACTTCATACCAAATCGGATGAGGGGCCCTGTCAATCCTTGGGGGTCTCTGGTAAAAGGAATCCTGGGGCAACAGTTGGGAAATTAACTTCTTGTTCTTCCATCACTTCAAGGTGTGGCAGGACAGCCCCAGGGAGAGACTTTTCGTTATTCACCCCCACACGGCCACAGTCATCAACCTTTTAATAGGAGTGGACCCACCGCTTGGAACCTGGCTGCTGCCACAAGCCAACAACACCTCCCAGTGTACCACCGACAGGCAATGTAGGGGTCACATCAGAGTAGTCCTACTCCTTTAAGCAATCTTACCACCAATCCCAACTCTCAAGAGATGCCTCTAATGCCCTCCTACTACAGTTGTCTCCTTTCACCCCTGATCTGCAAGGCTATCAGCAGTGAGAAGGGCAACAGCTGCAGTAGTTGGGCTGCATTAAACCAAAGCTGCTGGCCACGCTGACAGCTCCCCTACAGTGGAGGACAAAAAGTATGAACATGACAAAGGACACAAGGTTATTGGCACACAACTTCCCTTATGCCCCTAACTCCCCCACCAGCTGTGAGGGACAACATTGCAGGCTAGACTGTACCTCCACAGGCCAGATCTAATTTCTATCTCCACCCCACTCCTGCTGCACCACACTCACTAGGATTCCCCAGTTCACCCATTACTCCCCACAAGGACAGGGGCAGATAGGGGAAACAGGAAGAGGGAAGGGGAGCCCAGAGACTCCAGTGGCAGAAACTGGACAGCAATATAAGAGGTAGGGTCTGGACTGGGAGCCCAGGGACTGAACCCCTTGGGGGGGCCCACGAGACCCTCAGGCTGCATTCCAACAAAGATCTAGAGTCCCTTAGAAGTGAAGCATCCTTCCTTGTGACCTGCTTCCACACGATGGTGACTCAAGTAATACAACACATGCAGAATAAATCTTGGATTGTGCAATTTTCCACAAGGTTTCGTAGGACATGGAAGGAAAACTGATCTCCAAGTCTCCCGTGCTAACCTGCCAGCAGCAAGGACGCATAGCGGGAGTGCTGCTAGCTGGGGTGGCCAGAAAGCCCATGGAGGGGAGGGTCTCCACTGCAAGATCCAAGCGCGAGGCGTCCCTGCCCCGCCTCGAGCTGCGGCCCCCAGAGACTGCTGCTCGCTCTACGCCCGGCTCGAGTCCATGAGGGCCCCAAGCGGGGACGG